TATCTGAAGTGTACCTGGCGTATAAGACGACCCCCCACTTGGAGGCATATTTTTCAGGGCCAAAAAATCGTCTTATACGCCGGCAAATATGGTACGTGGCTATTCAAAGTATGCAAAGGAAATTTTGTCCTTTATTTCAACCATATGTATCCTACTAGAAATCTGAGTTCTATATTGAACGGGAGAAATTTTGGGGACAGTAGTCATCTGCCATAGGCCCTAGAGAGAACATTCCTGAGATTGATTTAAATGGAACTTTGGGGAAAAATGAAACCAAAGTTCTCTAATTTGAGAATACTTTTAATATATTTATCTAATATAAGTTAATGTTTCATAAATTTACTATATAGAATTGATACAGATCTAAAATTTACTGAATTGTGTATTTGTGAGTGCTGTCATTAGGAAACATTTTTTTACGTTATTTTTTAAAGTACATTTTACAGTGAGTTTGCAACTGTAACTTTCTGTTTCTTAGATAAATACTCCAGTCATCTAAATATTTTCATTAGACACTTAATACTTAAGAAACTTTATTCTTCTTAAAATGTTTGTTTTTCCTCATCTCTGTTTTTCAGTTTCCCTCTTGCAAGCCTGCTATGGCGAGCCTGAGGACTTGGTCTCTTGTCTGGAGGAGAAACCTCCCTTGGTTCATGCAGCACGATGCTTATCTTTTCTTAGTGTAGTTCAACAGCAGAAGGGCTTTGAATCTTAATTAGTTGTCTTTGCTTTAGGATGTTTCCTGTGAAATCTCACTGCTAGGTTTGTAATATGTTTAGTTGTATAAATCCTGTTTAAGTTTCTCTCTAAGCATAATGTTTTACCTGGTTAACATGTGTCTTAATCTGCTTGGATTGCCACAACAAAATACCAGAGACTGGGTGGCTTAAACAACAGACATTTATTTTTTTACAGTTCTGGAGTCTAGAAGTCTGAGATCAGGTTGCCAGTATGGTCAGTTTCTGGTGATAGCGCTCTTCCTGGCTTGGAGATGACTGCTTTTTTGTTGTGTCATTACATGGTGGGGGTGGGGTGGGAGAGGGGAGAGAGAGAGAGAGAGTGTGAGAGCGAGAGCGAGAGCGAGAGCGAGAGCGAGAGAGAGAGAGAGAGAGAAAACGCCAGCTCTCTCTGGTATCTATTCTTCTGAGGGCAACAATCCCTTCATGAGGGCTCCTCTCATAACCTGAATTTAACCATCATTGCCTACCAGTGTTCCCAACTACAAATACCATCACATTGGGAGTTAGGGCTTGAACATATGAATTTTGAGGGTACACAAACATTCAATACATAACGGTTTGAAAAGAGAAGTTTAGGATTATTATTATAACAGAGCAATGTAGCTGAAAAACCGGTGCATTAAGAATCCTAAGGTTTGTCAAGCAGATTAATCTTTATGATCAGGTTGACTAATTACCGATCTATTGTAGCTTCCGGCAGTTATGCTGGCGTAATAACCCCCAGCCTCAACAGAGGTTTACTTCTCCAGTGGCATGTCCCTTACAGGTCAGCAGGGCTTTCTGCTTATTGTAGTCTGTTGGGGATCCTGGCTGATAGAGCAGCCATCTCACACCATGCTGGTTCCTGTGCCAGAGAGAACGAGCACATTTGCAAGTGATTCTTTTTACCTCTGCTAACAATAAAATGGTCAGACTTAGTCAGAAGGTGGAGAGTGGGAATATTTGGAAAATGGCATGGATGCTTTCTCATACCCCTTATCTTCCAGTTTAATCAACTGTAAAATTAATCTTTCTGTCTTTCTGAAGAATATTACTGGAATAAGTTACATACAGGATCTTTAAATTCCCCAAGAGAACAAACTATAGTAACATGATATTGTTTACTGTTTTTGTTGTCATGTTCAATACTATCTCTGTTCTTGTTTTAGGAAGCTATTAACATCACATTGGATCACAAATGCAAAATTTTCCAGGCCTTAAATGGAGCTGTAGGTATGCTTCCTAAACACTGGATTGCTCATGTATACAGATGGACCCTGTCTTTTCAACTGTTGTCCTTTGTTGTATCCATTTGGGGGCTATGACTAAGGTTTACTGTGTAGATATTGGAACTTTAAAAAATACTGGATTTGAGCTTAGCTTGATATAGTTAAATATATTCAGTGAAAATCCTTTCCTAAGACCAGTGCAAAAAAGATAAGTTTCTGGCCTTTGGTAACTTGGAATTTAGCATCTCACCATCTGGGGACTATAGATATATTTTTTAATTCATTGCACCTTATGTTACACATTTTTCATTCTAAGTTCCCTGTATTGTGAATTACTCCGGAGGGTAGAGTATCAGAGTGTTTTAACCCAGCTGAAAGGTGGCTGGTAACTAACGATGCATGTATACTGTGAAATGGGTATTTGTGGCGCTTGCTTGCATGCACATGTGTGTGCCTGTGTCCATTTTCCTAAATAGACATGTTTCTTGATAAATACTTTAATACATTAAAATTAATCAATATATTAAAATCAAAATACATGAATTCATTAATGCATTAAAAATTAAAACTACATTGCAGTTTGCTACACTTCTTTAAGGCAGTTCATACAATAACAGGATTCTCAGAATTGAAAGCATTTAGTTTGGAGTGCTCAGGAAATGTGAGGGAAAGAACCTGACAACAAACAAACAGAAAAAACACTTTCTGCTTCCAGCTGACTTGTGTGTTCCTGGACTTTGCATTAGGTCTGATTTTCAAGAACTGGAAATGGTATCAGTGGTGGCAAGTTGTAGAAACCTTGCTTATTATTGCTGGCACTGTTCTATTTGCCATACATACGTTGTTATTATCCTCATAATAACCTTGAAAGGCCGACAGGGATCCCATTTTACAGATGAATACATCGAGACAATAGTTTGACTTCTCCAGGATCACATCACTGTCAAGAGGCGGAGTCAGGATTGCAGATTGTCTCCTCCTGCCAGACAGACGCCTCCGCGCCTTAGCGCCTTCCTGGGCTAGTGCCAGGTCGGAGTAAAGGAAGTCCACAGAATCTGTCTCTGTGTAGTGTTGTCCTTCATTTGGTGTCTGCTAACTGGGAGTACACAAAGTTTCTAAGTGTTGTAGCACGTGGAATAGCACACATGAGAAATTCTTAACAAGTTAGATGGATTGGTATATGCATATATGTGTACATGAATGCACTCACATTTTAAATTACTAAAACCTGTTTTTTCTTCTAACTCAGATGAAGTTGTTTTGAAATTTGAAAATGGCAAAGCCAGAGCTAAGAATGTGTTTTATGAAACATTACCAGTGACAATTAATGGAAATGGGCCCACCAAGGTGAGTCACAGTGACTTGTCCCTGCTTTCTTGTTTCTTGGAGATAGACTATGGGGCAACATGTAGCATATCTTCTTCTTTTTAAAGCCTTTAAGCAGCTTTATCTTGGTGCCAACAATTGACTGGTTTCAGCTCTTACGAAGTATGTTTGGTTTCATTAGGATTAATCAAACTGATGATTTTTCCTCAGCAGAGTGATGACCATTTATTCTATTTATAACACATTTCACTTTAGTGTTTAATAATAGTAGCTAACTTAAGAGTGAGCCACGTTTTCTTCATTTAGGGTATCCTCTCTGAATAGGAAAGGTTTAGGTCATTAAAGGATCATGTGTTTCACCTGAGTCACCCATTTTCTAAATTAGCAACTCAGCTCAGATTGAGGTGTAATTATATGGCCAGAAAACTTCCTCTTGCACTTATTTTCTACCTGGGTTATAATTGACAAACATAATTTGACTAATGAAATTTTGGATGCTTTTCAAATACATATATTTGAGCTTGCTGAAACTGTTAATGACTTCAGATTTATAGATAAGTTTGTAAAGTTTGTATTGCTGGTATCCAATTATAATGGAACATTAATTTTATATATATATATATATATATATATATATATATATATGATTAAACGCACCCACGCGTGTGTGTATACATATGCTTAAAACAATGTTTTGAGATACTGAGTTGGCTGGTTTACTCGTAAGTATCTAGAAAAGAGATTAACAGCTAGATTTGCATTGTGGGAAGAGAAGATGGGGAGATGTGGTCAGTTATTTCAGAGAAGTGAGTAGTCTGAGTTCCAATAAAAGCATATGCATGGGAAGAAGTTCAAGGGAAAGCCTACATTTCAGCTTCTCCAAAATCAAAATGGAAGAAGCACATCCCCTTCTCTACTTAATCTTTCCTCCTTGCTTCTCATCCAGACCTCCTACAAAGCTGTCTTCCCATGTGCTCTCTGTTCTCTGTCTTCTATTAGTTTTCCCAGTTCTGCTCTCCTTCTCATCAGCATTTTAAAGACCCTCAAGTCTTTCCATCCTCTGAAGAAAACAAAACTGAGCCAACACAAACTAAAACATTGTCCTTCATCCGCACTGCCTGCCAGCCGCCTTCACAGCCACAGCTCACTGCCACCGCCAGCCCCCTTCCCACTGCACCAGGAAATGCTCCTGTCATGACCTGTTGTGACTTCCTGTTGAATAGTAAACACTCATCGGCCCTCATTTTTACTTCACCCAAAGATGACTTCTGATAACTTTTGACAATGTTGATCCTATTTGGTCCTACTTGAAATGTTCTTTCCCTTTGTTTCCATGTGCTTTACTGATTTGTCTACTACCTTTCTGGCTTTTTCTCTTCAATCTCTCTTTCTTTTTCTTTTTTTAATATACATTAAAAAATGTTAACACTTTGTATGTGGGGGTGGGGAGGTTGGGGGTCAAAGGGGTGATCCTCTTCTTGTACTGTGTTAGCTAAGTGTCCTCAGGTATCTGTGCGACATCTCCCTTTTCTATTCTACACACATTCTTGGGTAATTTGCTTCATTCCTGGGAACATCAGCAAATCCTTTCTTCATGCTGGTGATTTTCAAATCCTTGCTCTAACTCCTCTACCTTTCCTGAGCTCCAGGTCTGAATACCCAATTGGTAGATTTACTTTTGTGTCATGTAAGACCGGAGCTCAAGACCTTTAGCTCTGCCTCTTCTTCCATCTGGTTGGTTAACCAGAACGTGGGTCTTATTTTGGTTATCGTTGCTTCCCACTCCCAATCCAAGAGCTATCCTAACTGCTGTGTATGGTGGTTTATCTAATTTGTTCAGTGCCAAAGCAACTTCCTTAGTTCAGGCCATCTGCAGCCTCCCACCAGAAGCAGTCACCCATCAGTAGCCTGAATGCTCAGGCAGAAACCCAGTCATATTACTCACCTGTGTAATGCCCTCGGTGGATATATTAGGTTGGTGCAAAAGTAATTGCAGTTTTGGACCCTGAATTTTAAATCATCATAACTAGGCTCAAATATAGCTTTATTATCAAAATAGGATCCATGACAATCAACACATTTTTGCCAAGAGAAATAAGTTTGTTTATTCCTGTAGCATAAAAATCCATGCTTTGGGATTCAGCAAACTCTTGGAAAGCATTTTCTGTATCCTGCTGATTGTGGAAGTGTTTTCCCTGCAAAAAGTTGTCGAGATGCTTGATGAAGTTGCAGTCGGTTGGTGAGAGGTCAGGTGAACATGTCCGATGAGGCAAAACTTCGTAGCCCAATTTGTTCAACTTTTTTTTTTTTGGCTGGGCCGTCCCGCCACCTGTTAGCTGCTCAGCAGCAGCTCAGCTCAGGCTAGGAATCGAAATGGCGACCCTGTTGCTCAGAGCTCACACTCTTGAGCGAGCTCTTAATGAACTAAGCCACTCGGCCGGTCCTTCATTCAACTTTTGAAGCGTTGGTTGTGCTACATGTGGTCTGGCATTATTGTTGGGAAGAATTGGGCCCTTTCTGTTGACCAATGCCGACCTCAGGCGTTGCAGTTTTCGGTGCATCTCACTGATTTGCTGAGCATACTTCTCAGATGTAATGGTTTCGCCGGGATTCAGAAAGCTGTAGTGAATCAGACCGGCCGCAGACCACCAAACAGTGACTAACCTTTTTTTGGTGCAAGTTTGGCTTTGGGAAGTGCTTTGGAGATTCTCGGTCCAACCACTGAGCTGGTCATCACCAGTTGTCATATACAATCCACTTTTGGTTGCATGTCACAATCCGATCAAGAAATGGTTCATTGTTGCGTAGAATAAGAGAAGATGACACTTCAAAACGACAATTTTTTTGATTTGCGGTCAGCTCATGAGGCACCCACTTACCGAGCTTTTTCACCTTTCCACTTTGCTTCAAATGCTGAATGACATAACAAAAGTTGACGCTGAGTTCTTCGGCAACTTCTCTTGTAGTTGTAAGAGGATCAGCTTTGATGATTGCTCTCAATTGGTCATTGTCAACTTCCGATGGCCAGCCACTACGCTCCTCGTCTTCAAGGCTCTCATCTCTTTTGCAGTACTTCTTGAACTACCACTGCACTGTACGTTCGTTAACAGTTTCTGGGCCAAATGTATTGTTGATGTTGCAGGTTGTCTCTGCTGCTTTACGACCCATTTTGAACTCGAATAAGAAAATTGTTCGAATTTGCTTTTTGTGTAACATCATTTCCATAGTGTAAAATACATATGAAGTAAACAGCAAGTAATAAGTCACTAGCAAAAAAACATAAAGCAAGAAATTCACGTTAAAATGATGTATAACATAACCACATTTATTGAATGTATTCCAATATCAAAGGCAAATTTCAACAATGCAGAAACCGCAATTACATTTGCACCAGCCTAGCATTATTCTTGGGAGTGGTAAGACGGGGTTTTTTTCTAGCAGGAGAAAAAAGTCATAAAATTGTTGTGGGTCGCCATAACTGCCCCTAGGCAAGTTTGATAAATGGACAGATTTTGTCTATGAAGGCCTTTACAGAGTGTGTGTGTGTGTGTGTGTGTGTGTGTGTGTGTGTGTGTGTTCGTTTGCAGTTTCTGTTAGCCATCTGTCTGACACCTTGGTGTCCACTGGGCAGGCAAAGGCTTGTACAAGCAGACATCTCCCATAACTAAATAGTATGCTGTTCTGTTTTGTAATATTTCAATCAAATGTAATATTTTAATCTAATGTAATATTTTAATCAAATTTAAATGTCGTTAAAGAGGGAGCTTGGTCCTGACAATTAAGTTATTTGTGGGTTAAGGCCTGATATTCAGGGTTTTAAAGTGATCACCAGTTCCTTTTGAATTCCCAGGATAATCTGACTGGTTTTACAAAGTAACTAAAGGACTTCTCAGAAGAAAAGGAGTACTAATCCTTAATCATTTAGAAAGACCTGTGTGTACTAAGAAGTTTTAAGTCTTCTAGGAAACATTCTCAGCTTGGGCTACCACTGTTTGTGGCATTTTAAGCAGTATGATGAGCCTATATTTTCTCTGACATGGTCTTATCTGGTCTATCTTCCTATGATTTTATTTGGCAACAAAAAATAAAGTCAGTTTTTTTATTATAAAGTTATAGTTGATATATAAAAATTTGAGAAAAGATGATATAAATGAGCATTCAAATAATGCTAATATTTTATTTAGTAATATTATGTTAAAGTTAAATAGGGGTACGTGAATATATCACATTTTCCCCTGTGTACAAGCTAACCGGGAAAGAAAGCAGATTACTCTTTAAACATACACTTTTCTTTAAACCATCATAAAAGATGAAAGGATTTTTTAATATGAGTTTTTATAAGTTAATTTTACTTATTATTTTATTTAGTAAGGGATGAGTATTATGTCAGTGATTTTTGTGCCATAACATTGAACTAAATAATATGTAAGCCATTTTTTCACTTAAAAATACGGTAGTCCCCCCTCATTTGCAGTGGATATGTTCTAAGACTCCCCATGGATGTCTGAAACCATGGATGATACTGAACTCTACATACTATTTTTTTCTATACATACATATATACGTAAATACATACCTTTTAACTTAAAGAAGTGCTGTATAGGGACTATAGTCAATGATATGGTAATAACTATGCATAGTGCCAGGTGGGTACTAAACTAGTCAGGGGGATCACTTCTTAAATTATATTAAATGGCTAACCACTATGTTGTCACCTGAAATTAATATAAAAGAATATGGAATGTCAACTGTAATGGAAAATAAATAAATAATTAAATTTCAAACAACATACACATAAAAGAAGCACTTTACAGCTTCTCTTCGGCATTTCTGAGTTGCTAGCATCACTACTTTTGCACTTTGGGGCCATTATTAAGTAAAATAACGTTACTTGAATATGAGCACTGTGATACAATGGAAATTGATCTGATAACTGAGAAGGCCACTAAATGACTAACTACTAAGTCCCAAATGGGTCAGGAATGTATACAGTGTGGATACCTGGACAAAGGAATGATTTATGTCCTGGGTGGGAAGGAGTGGGACAACTCGAGATTTCATCATGCTGCTCACAGAACGATGTGCAATTTATTTTTATTTTATTTTTTTAGGTGTTTTTTTTGTAGTTTTAGGTGTACAAAACAACATAATGACTAGACATTTACACCCCTCAGAAAATGATAACCTGCCCCCCCCAGTCTACTACCCTCTGACATCGTGTATAGCTGTTACAATATATAGCTGTATATCCCCTGTGCTGTACTTTACATCCTGTGACCATAGATATATATTTAATTGTAGTTGATATTCAATATTATTCTACATCAGCTTCAGGTGTAGTGCAGTTTAAAATTTATGAATTGTTTATTTCTGGAATTTTTCATGTAATATTTTCGGATTGAGGCTGACCATGTGTAACTGAAACCTGAGAGTTAAACCATGGGTAAGGGAGGACTACTATATACATATAATCTGTAAATGACAAATTGTTTCTAGTATGTTTATAGACTGAGTATATAAAAATGAGTTTATTTCTTAATTAGTTACTTTCTAAATTTCATGCTATTATTAGGAAGAACAATTTTTTAAATAATTTTTTAAATCACTTATAACCCCACTCCTTTCCCATATTGTTTTCATTCAGTTTTATGTCCTTTCAGTATATATACACATCTATGCACATTCATATTTTTCATAATGGCTTATAAACAATTTTGTGTTTTTTAAATTAGCATTTTATTTGTATTCTATGTAATTTAATATTTGTCTAGATAAAATCTAATAAATCACTTGTTAGATAGAAAGTACGATTTCTGATTTGAAGCTTTACTTTTTATTCTTGAAGTTCATTTATTCTTAGTAACATATCATAAGATGCTTTTTTTTAAAGAATTTTTATGAATTTATTTGAGCCAAAATGACAAGGTATGCAGGATCTCACATGCTCCTAAGATGCTTATTTTAATACCCAACCTTTCTTTTAAATATCAGATAATATGCAGATTAAGGTAATCATTATGAAAGTGGCAGTATTTTTAATACAAACAGAAGTTTAATAGAACAAGATCCAATCGCCTAATTTGCATATGAAAACAAGTCATTTCTGAAACTAATTTGATTTATAATAACAATAGGGATCTTAATTTTTTTGCATAAACCCACAATGCTTGGGTTACTATGACCTACTATCCATAGATGATTTGGAAAAAAACAATGTGGTTGGAAAAGTTTCTTTTCTGATGAAGTGACATCATACTTGGAAACATTTTGATATTGTGAAAGAAGGATTGGGTGAGTACTCCCACCTAGTAGGCGGATACTGCCCAGAGCAGCCTAAGTACATAAGCAGTTCTCTGCACTTTCCAAGGCTGCCAGCATAAATGTCTGCAGTTTTTAATGAAGAAAACAGGTGTAAATGGAGGCCCCTGGTGATGGATAACCTCTGCCTATGTGGTGAGAAATCCAAAAGAGGGAGATTTCCAGTCTCAAAAAATGGTTTCAAAAATAATTATCTATGAAAATGAATTGAGGTAAAAAGTAGAAAGTAGAAAAGTTATAATGCCTTTTATGCTGTAACCTTTTAAAAAAGCATTGATCATTTTCATATTCACATTGGGATTCTAAGACACTGATCAATCATTCATGAAATAAATATGTAGTTTTTTATGAGATGAAGAAAGTACCAGTCTTTATATATAAATGGGAATTTTATATATGGCCAACAATTTGAGGATTTTTTTCTTCGTTAAAAAAAAATTATTTCCCAGGATATTTCAGACAAAACTGTATAATTCGCACTAGTTTTAAAAACAATGTCTCTTGGAAAAAAATGCTAAAGGATCCATTTTGACATGAATCACTTTATTTTCTTCCTTCAAAATCATAATTTTGTATAGAACATGAATGATTAAATTAATATTTGCATTTGTAATTTGACAGCAGTGAAATTTTGTTTTTATTTTAGAGGTACATTAAAGTAGCCACATGGATTCTTGAAATATCATTAATTAATGCTGTAACTATGTATTTTCTGCCTTGTAATTTGTTTCCTGAATTATCATGTAGTTCAAAAGAAATGTGAATGAATTAGTTGTTGTCCATGTCTTCTGTGTGCTATACAGACTGTAACTATGTCAGCAATTATCTATATGACACAAAGATGTTTCCCACTGCAACTCATACTGTACTTGTTTCAATAGCAGTTTTCAGTTGCAGTACAATAGAAATATTTGGATGGAATCTCAAATGTTTGGAGGAATTGGGTGAAATGGTACTGGACTAATTACCTAAATTATTCTACAACTTAAGATCTTTTTTAGGGTCTTAGGGAGCTAGAGAGAGTCACTTGTCACGTCTTTACATTTTTGACCATCATGTTTAATGGATAGGCGTCTTTATCTTTTGAGTTCATCTCACCTTTACAATGAAAAGTTAATGATTAAATCAGCATAACGAGGATTTTAGGTGCTTCCTTTTTAAAAGCAACATAATGTCACAGGTAAAGCTAATTTGCTACAGCTTCACTGTTTTGAGGTGAAATAATTAGTTTGTGAAATAAATAAATAAATTTCTTAAAAACTACAAATGTTTATACCACTACAGGTATTAACATTGTAGTAGAAACTGTGGTAATTTTTTTTTTTATCTCAGTATATTTAGCTCTTTCCTCCATTCCTCTTCCCTCACCTTCTCTCCCATCCAAAACCCTCACAAGGACACAGATATTACAGGTAAAATGAATGCTTGTAGATGCTTGAGGAGAGAGGGCTGTGAGTCATAAAGAAGATGCTCTTAGAGACCCAGTGGTAGGTGGGGAAGCGATGTTGGACTTTATCGTGGCTAGGATTTGTGGGGTGACTGTAAATAGGAGCTTGTTCGAGATCTATTTTAATCTGCAAGCTTTCTTTTCCTGAGATCAGTTCCTCTGAATCACTGCCCAGAAGCCTAGTTTATAGTAGGTAGCATAGTTTAGCACCTTTTGATAATAAAGTTTATAGTATTTGTTTCATGTGGGAATGGTTGGTAAGAGGTCAAATTGCAACTACCCCTTTCAGTAAGCGTCTGTACTGAGCCTTTAAACATCCTTATCTTATTACTAAGTTACTCTTAACATGACTGATCTTATTTGCGTTGTTTTGCTAATAAGCCTCATTAGCCCAATTAAAATGGTGTGTTTCGTTGTTTGACATATTTTCTAATTGTGTTTTTTCTGGTATTATTCCTTATATATTGAAATAAAATGACCTTTATGACTTAGAATGCATTTTTTTTTTGTCATTTCTAAACAAAGTTTGTCGTGCTTTGTGATTCGTAGTCTGGAGAGAACGTTGTTCAGTGTGTACCTACCTCTAAGTGATAAATATTAGTAGAATTATTAAAGAAAGGCACTCAGTTACACGTTTATGGAATGAAAAAGTACATTGAGAAGAGAGGATTATTTTTGTTAATACAGTTTCCCTTCTTTTTCTAGGTTCTCCTGAATTACTTTGGAAACTATGTCCCTAATGCGTGGACACAAGAGAATGGCTGCACTCTATGTGAACTGGATACAATTGACTTGTCTGCAGTAAATGTAAGAGGAATTGACTGTGCGTGAAATGTAGTAATCAAAAGGACATTGTCATGAAATACTGTGATTTGTGAAAAGAAAAAGGGCATATTATTTTATAGTTTTGATAATATATGCTAAAATATGATAATTCAGAAAATTGCTAGATTTGTGTATTTCTGAACTATTTTTGAAAGCAAAGCCAGCTGATAATTGACCCCAATAAAAAGGGCTTTGTTGTTAATATTTAACAGCTTGCTATGATTGGGTGTTCTGCTAACTTAGTAAAAGCATTAAGGAAAAGGTTACAGTGCTTCAGCATTTTTATTGACTAATTTTATCTGTGCTTGATTTTCAAATTTGATTTAAAAAATAGTAATATTATATAACTAAGAATTGTCCTAAGTATTTTATATAAGTAAATCATTTAAACTTCATAAAATCTCCTAAGTAGATTATACTATTGACTGAGTTTTATGATGAGAAAATTGAAGTATATAAAGGTTAACTTGCTTAAAGGCATGTAGCTTTCTTGTGTTGGAGGTAGGATTTGAAATTAGGCAGTCTGGCTCTAGATCCTATATTCAGATCACTGTGCAATTTTGCCTGGATGTCATGTACATATTATATGCTAGGCAAATGTATACACATGACTTGTATTCTCCTTTTGTTATTGGTATATATTGAGTTACAATTTTAGTACCCTTTTTTCCTTTCTTAAAATGTATATACATTTTTTGGCACCATGTGTGTGTGTGTGTGTGTGTGTGTGTGTGTGTGTGTGTTATATAGATATAGATATACTATATATGTGTGTGTGTATATATATACTATATATATGGCATATATATACCATATATATATATATATATATATCATATATATCATAGATAATTATAGCTGTAGTTTATTATTTACACTTTGAGAACAAATGAGCAATCAGGACTATTAATTATTTATTTATAAAACATTTTTATTAATCCTTCTGTCAACAACCAGAGCAGTTTTAGTATATCCTATAGTAATGGTTTTCTTCCCCAAAATTACTCTTATGACTTGGAAGACTATTATGTGTATGGATTCTAGGGATGATTTTTGTCATGGAAGGCTGATTCCTTCCTTCATTGACTGTAAGTTCTTCGAGTGTTTACAGAATGCCAGATCAGTAGAACTAATATAGACAAAAATAAAATTCCCAGTAATATAGCTCTGGTAACCCCTAGACCTATGCAAATATAAACTACTCCCAGTGTAAAATACTCCATCCGCTGAGTTAAATATTTTCTCTCCTTATCAATGTCTGAAAGGAGGATAAAGAGTAACTCACACACATTTATGAACTTTTTAAGTAGAGCCCTATTTTACTTGTAAATAAGACTTTTTAATCAGCCTCTCCAATATCAAACTGAATGTTTCCGGTCTGGAAAGAATACCAGAATATTTCTGAATGAAGCTGTATTATGACAATGTTTAAAAATTCATACTGATAGGTTTTGCAGAAAGTACAAACAGTAGTGTCCTTTGGAGGGAGAGTTAGTACTTTCTATCTGTTTGGTTTCATTTACATAAACTGTCTAGTTCAAAGATAGAAAAATATTTATATAAAATTTCTTATCTTTTTTTGCATATAGGAGTAAATCACTTGATTCTTAAGCTACTTTGTCTTACAACTTGTTAAAATATTCTAGAAAGGAAAACTGTTGTATTATGCAAAATAAATTTCTTAGTGTTTACTATATGTAATTAAGATGCAGTAGACATAAAAATTAAAATTATATGGGTATTTAAGATCTCAGGCCTGCCGTATTCTAAGATGTGGGCCATTGGCAAGTTTCTTTATATGTAAAAATAATAGTGGCTGTCTCAGAGGACTGGTAATAGGGTTAAATGAAATTTTGGATATACATATATAAAATGATATTTTATATGTATAAATTGTATACATAGAGGGTGCCCCAAAAATGTAGACAAATTTTAAGAGAGGAAAAAACTGTATTAAAATGATAATACTCAATATATACCAATAACAAAAAGATGAATAGAAGTCATGTATATACGTTTTTTTTGGCACCCCCAGTATATGAAGTGTAAGCCTTCAGTAAATGTTAACTGTTACACTATTATTATTAGTCTATAAAAAATGAACTTAGATTGATAATGGAGATGTAGCACTCTGAAGCCCAGCTCTTTACCTACAAATTTATGTGTTCTGGGTTGCTTAACTTCTCTAAGTCCCATTTCCCTCTCATGTAAATTCGGTCGAATCAACTTTTAAGGTTATTATGAAATTTAAATGAAATGCATTGTCTCATTTGATAAGGGAAAGTTGTGATCCACCTTTTATGTATTTCCTCTAGGAGTTAAGAACTCCTAGAGGGTATTTTGTCTTTAGTTGTTTGTGTTTGTTTATTCATTTAAGAACATTTGGATGAATGAATGTATTGATAAAGAAGTACAACAGTGTATGAGGTGTACTTCATTGCAAACAAATATTAAGTTATAATCCAGATAACAAGGGAACAGGTGAGGTACCATGTGTGAAAAGATGGGGAGAGGTACCTAATTCAGCATTTAACATATATGTTTTTGTTTTTGTTTTTAAAGATTTTATTGGGGAATTTGGGGAAGGGAACAACATTGGGGAATCAGGGAAGGGGAACAGAAAAGTTGCTGTCCTTTGGTTCTTCAGTCTAGTTGTGGAGGACACCACTTCACTGGCCCATGTTGGTATTATGATCATTGTGCTCTTCCCAGCTGAGGCATTTGGTTGCCAGGCACTGGACGGCCGCTCACCGTAGCTCACGGCAGCTCACACTGGCTGCTGGCCGCTTATGCCAGCTGCCGGCCACACACGGTAGCTTTTGGCAGCCCACTGCAGCAGGGGCTGCAGCCTACGCTGTTGCCGGCAACTTACGGCAGCCCAGCTCCAGATCGAGCTGTTGTTCACAATCTTAGCTGTGGAGGGTGTAGCATCACTGGTCCATGTGGGATCCAAACCAGTGGCCCTGCTGCTCAGAGCTTGCGCTCCCAAGCCAACTCTTAACCAACAAGCCACTTGGCCAGCCCTAACATATTTTTTTTTTTTAAAGATTTTTATTGGGGAATTAGGGAAGGGGAACAGACAAGTTGCTGTCGTTTTGTTCTTCAGTCTAGTTGCGGAGGACGTTGCTTCACTGACCCAACTTGGCACCATCATTGCGCTCTTCCCGGGCGAGGCACACTTGTCGCCGGCTTCTGGAAGGCCGCTCACTGAGGCTGCTGGCTGCTCACGCTGGCTGCTGGCTACACACGGTAGCCCATGGCAACCCACTGCCACAGGGGCTGCAGCCTACGCCGTCGCTGGCGACTCACGGCAGCCCAGCTCCAGGTTGCACTGTTGTTCAGCATCTTAGCTGTAGAGGGCAGTGTCACTGGCCCTCATATGTGGGATCCGAACCGGGGCCCTCTGGCATCCCAGGCCAGCTCTTAACCATCGCTCCACTCGGCTGGCCCCTTAACATATGTTTTTTTAAAAAAAGTTTAATCTTTAAATTCAGGCTTTAAAAGATGGTTCTAGAAAGGCGTTATAAAGAAGTGTTTCATATAGTTCTGGTAATAACACTGTTAAATGGCCGTTGACTTATGTTTCTGATTTCCCCAACCATTTGAAAGTTTTCAAGCCAAGAACTTTCACTCCTTTATGTAAATGTTGTTTATCACAAGGACTGACACATTTAATGCATATTTCAGAAGTTGTCATATAGTGAGTGAAAATACAGTGTCCCCTAAAACATACCTAAAGAGAATTTAAGAAAATATATAAAAAAAGATACACGATAAAATGTATTAGTAAAAGAAAATAGCTTTCCTATATGTAATAGAAACAAAATTAAGTACTATCAGTAAAATTAGTTTAAAGGAGATACTCAAGGCTAGAAATAAAGGTTGAAGTCTTCCATGATTGCTTTATTTGAGCTACAAATTACTGAAATTCCAAGCCATGGAAACAAAAAGAGAAAGACAATTAGCATTCTAGTTTCTTACACGAAGGTGTCAAAATAGATTCAGAATTGAAGGAAGTTTCTTTAAGGACTATCATGAAAGAAGCATTGAATAGGAGAGTAGGCAATAGCCTTAATTAAATCCATATAATGAATATGATCATGAGTTTCTTCTTCAAACCTAAGTCATAATGCCAAGATGCGATTGAGTAAAATCACTCTGGTGGGGTCAACAAAAATGTATTTCAAGTGTTAGAGAATTGCCATTCAAATTTAGCAAATTACATTGAGTTGGTATTCTGTTTTATTTGGTGTATTTTGAGCAAGACTTGAATAAAATTTAAAGTAAAACCACACTAATGATAAGTTTTTCTTATGTTTGCCATAAAACATAGGTCTATCCAAATGTAACAGTGGGTGTTTTTATTGAGCAACCAACCCCTTTCCTATCTCGATTTCTGGACATATTGTTGACACTGGATTACCCCAAAGAAGCAGTTAAAGTCTTTATTCATAACAAAGTAAGTATTTGAGAAATGAATATTTTATGTGAGAAGTATTTTTTATTTTCTTTGGAACTATTTGTTTTTATTTATTTATGTCTAAAAAAATCCACTGGACGAAATTAAGTAGGGGATTTTTTGGACTAATTATTGCCCTGCCGTTTTAGGACCTAAGGATTTTACAGTCTGAAATTAGTATCATAATACAGTAATACCATGGTTTGCGAGCATAATTTCTTCTGGAAATAAACTATTCATATTGCAAGACATTGCTCATTTACCATGTTAAAATGTATTAGAAATGTTTGCTCATCTTGCGGAACACTCGCAAACTAAGTTACTTGCAATCCAAGGTTTTACTGTATTGGGATGAGCCTCGTGAAACTGCCAATTTTTATAGATCAAAAAGGTTAAGTATCAGCTGTTTTCTATGGCTCAACTTGAAATATATTGCAGAGACATCAAAGGGCTTTACATTCCTTTGCTTTTGGGTTAGTTCTAGTACTTTCTTTTATAGAACCTGTCATTAAATTGTTTGCAGTTTATGGTAATACTATAATATTGAACTTGAAATAGCTTCCAGATATTATTATTTTGATTAATCACATAATGGTATGCTCTTCCCCAAAGGGTTTGATATTAGCATTTCCTTCAGAAATATTCAGAGCCTCCCAAATAGCTCCCACATATAATCCAAATTTAAAGACATTTTTTTCTCAGTATTTTTCCACTACTTGCCTCTTTCCTGTTAAAATAGTTGGTATTTAACATCATTTAGAAAAACTCAATAGCTATGAAGTATGCTCTTTCCTCTCTTATGTCCTAATACTTTTTGTTTACTGCTGTTCTTTCTTCCTAATGTACATGTCAGTTAATATTTGCCTTTTCCTGAGAATATCTTAAATTTACAGGAAACAAGCTAAAATAAGTTAAAAGGGCAAATCATTAAGCATTTGCTTCGTAAAATGTGTTATAATGTATGTACTTAATGTTAAAGTGGTTTTTTTTTTGGAAAGATTTTATTGGGGAATTGGGGGAGGGGAACAGTGCTTGCGAATCAGGGGAAGGGGAACAGAGAAGTTGCTATCCTTTTGGTCTTCAGTCTAGTTGTGGAGGACGTTGCTTCACTGGCCCATGTTGGTATTATCATTGCGCTCTTCCCGGGTGAGGCAGATCGGTCACCAGCCTCTGGACGGCTGTTCACGGTGGCTCTTGGGCAGCTCACACCAGCTGCTGGCTACACACGGTAGCCCATGGCAACCCACTGCAGCAGGGGCTGCAGCCTATGCCATCGCCTGTGACTCACAGCAGCCCAGCTCCAGGTCGAGCTGTTGTTCAGCATCTTAGCTGTGGAGGGCACTGTCACTGGCCCTCATGTGGGATCCGAACCGGGGCCCTGCTTGGTGTCCCAAGCCAGTTCTTAACCATCGCACCACTCAGCCAGCCCTTAAGTGTTTTGTTTTTATGTATTATGTCGTTTTTATTTATTCTTTTCCTCCTTTCATAGTACCTAAAACTCCTTGATGACAGGAATTTTTATCTTTTATATTTGAAGTTAACTCTAACTTTTCTGTGATAAGTAGTTTTAACATGCAATGAAAAGCTTTCAAAAATACTTAATGAGAATTGATATATAAAAAGCTCTGAAATGCTCATATGGTGGAGACAGATAATCTTACCAAAGTTTTAGTACAGTTGAGTAACACTAATTTGATAACTTTTATGTTGGTGATTTTCCCATCAGTAAAATATTATTAAACACTCTTTTTTTTTTAAAGATTTTTATTGGGGAATTGGGGGGATGGGAACAGTCCTGGGGAATTGGGGGAAGGGGAACAGACAAGTTGCTGTCGTTTTGTTCTTCAGTCTAGTTGTGGAGGACGTTGCTTCACTGGCCCAAGTTGGCACCATCATTGCGCTCTTCCCGGGCGAGGCAGATCAGTCGCCGGCCTCTGGACGGCCGCTCACTGCGGCTGCTGGCGGCTCACGCTGGCTGCTGGCTACATACGGTAGCCCATGGCAACCCACTGCCACAGGGGCTGCAGCCTACGCCGTCGCTGGCGACTCACAGCAGCCCAGCTCCAGGTTGCACTGTTGTTCAGCATCTTAGCTGTGGAGGGCAGTGTCACTGGCCCTCATATGTGGGATCCGAACCGGGGCCCTCTGGCATTACAAGCCAGTTCTTAACCATCGCGCCACTCGGCTGGCCCCTAAACACTCTTATTTTAAAAACATTCTGGCTTCACAGAATATTGTAATATTTATTTTATAAATGATTATTTATAACTTAGATTAGTATCTGTTAGGTTTAGTTGACTTTTTTTATGGATATTTTGCAGCACATGTCTGAGATTCTCAGGCCATAAGCCACTCACACCCCATTTAGAAAAATTTTTGTAGCACCCAGGATTTAAATATTTATACAAGGAAACTGTTTAGGAGTAATGTTCAAAGAATTTTGAACTATCTTCTCTTTCAAAAATATCAATATGTATGTATTTTAGATTTTTCACATAACATTTAGGTGATATTTAAATATAACATGTTTAATTTGGTTATCATTTTGTCTGTAATTGAGTGAATTTGTGAGTTGTGGAATTCAGAATTTTGGATGTGAACCCATCCCTACATATGAAATACTTCAGTCATTTTGTCTAATTTTCTCACTAATTTTTTTTTCCCTTTTTTTCTCACTCATTTTCTATTTCTTTAAATATGTTACAGGAAGTTTATCATGAAAAGGACATCAAGGTATTTTTTGATAAAGCTAAATATGAAATCAGTACTATAAAAATTGTAGGACCAGAAGAAAATCTAAGTCAAGCCGAAGCCAGAAACATGGGAATGTATGTTTTAATAAATTTAAACTTAATTATTTCTATTAAAGAAACTTTAAAAAACAAACAAGTTTTCTTAAAAATTAATACCCCAAACTTGGATGAGGTCTCTACTCTATGTGTCTGTATGTGTGTTGTGTATGCTTGTGAGCACCTTCTCTTAAGACTCTGTTTGGATACTTATGTGTAAAGGGCCATGGAAACTATTTACATTTTTCTTTTAATGCCAGGAGTTGACATATTTAATCACACTATTAATTGAACTTCAGATCAAGATTTAAAGTACTCAGACAAATAAATAGTATGACTCATATAAGCAGTGATTTCAGTGTTAACTCTATGAAGGTTGTGTGTGATAAAAATGTATGTTTTAGATTGAGGGAGAAAAAAGGTATTCCTACTTTCTAGTTACTTCCTGATCTAGAAAATACTGTAACACTCAAGGAATATTTTAGGTCCTTTGTTTGGCCTCTTTAATACTTCAGACAGATTAGTTATAAAATTTTGGTAATGGTAAAAACAATCTTTTATTCAGTAAATGTTAATTGAACATGCCAGGCAGTGGGTTATGAGTGGCTAATGAAAAGGTGATTAAGTCATGGTGACTTCTCATCAGGAGATGCTCTTGTGCTGTGAAAGCTCAGGGTCCAGTGTGATGGCGACTGCCTGGTGTGTGGGGGAAAGGGATAGGTGGGAAAACAGGCCTTAGTAAAACCAAACAGATATTTTTACTAATGGGTCCATAAACTTATTCGTTTGGAGAATCCATGGGTCCACATTCAAAACTTATCTTCTCTAATTATCTGTACAACATTAACAAGCTTTTCTGCCTGGTGTCCTTTTCGACAGTTGCTTAAACAAATGTGGTGTGGATATACACCTTGACAATAACTGAAAGTGATAAGTGGGAGCCCAGAAAGAGAGAACCCCAAATGCAGAAGCTTTAATACTTGGAACCATTTCATGTCACTTTCCTTGGTGATCCTGATAATAACACTGCAGACTCTACCAGGAAAAGCATTGTAGTCAGGGTCCCTGGTAAGAAGCAGGGGAGTAACTGTCTTAGAAAGAATCCCATTCAAATCAAGTTCAAAAAGTTTTAATACCTAAAGAGTTATTTACTGGTATCTTCAAAACTCACTTAAAGCCGAGTTGTTGAATATACAAGATTTTGCAATGTGTGTATGTGTGTGTGCAAAAACATTTTGATTTGTGAAAAAGAAGTTGTTGATAAATACATTGGGGTAAATTATTTTCTTCTTTTAAAGAAGATTTAATACTAAATTATAAATTGCCATTCTGACTGGAGTTTTATGACTTAAAATATTTAGTGGCTGAAAATATATTTTACCTGGCCTAAAAAATTTAGTGTTGACCTCTCTATGAACATCCGTGTTGATAAATTGAACATTTTGAAATTTAAGACAATAGGTATCCTAAGCCTGATGTGATTTCTTCAAATGTTCTAAAGCCCATATTTCTTCACTGTTGATTTGTGTGATGATTATTTGTTGACTTTTTGGAAAAAAAATTTTTTTTTCTAATCAATAGAGTTAGTAATCAATCACCTTTGGTGCAATTACTCAGTATTCCTCAAATGATAAAAATTTATTGTGTAAATAAACACAATCTACCAAAAACCCCAAACATACAAAAAGACAATAGGTATTCTTTTTGATATTGTCTTACTATTTTGATTGTAAAACTATGTTAGAGAAGCCTTATTTTACATGTAAGCTTTATGTTAATATTTTTCAACAGAAAATATTAATTTTTATCTAATTCTTATTTCATCTCTTTTTCAATGTCAGGGATTTTTGCCGTCAGGATAAAAACTGTGATTATTACTTCAGTGTGGATGCAGATGTTGTTTTGACAAATCCAAGGACTTTAAAAATTTTGATTGAACAAAACAGGTACTATATGAAATTCAGTGTCAATTTATTTTTAAAATGATATTTGTTTATTTTATCTGTGTGGACACATTATAGTGACTTAACTATGGGAGGGACAGATAGGGAGAAGCAAATTGGGGTAGCTCACATTGTTACTTTATACATCTTACAAACTTTCAACCCTAATTAATTAGTTTTCTTTTAAAGGAGTCAAATAGAAAACAGCTTAGTGAAAATTAGAAGTATTGGCTCTTAGTTACAATAAAAAATACTGTGTTTGTCAATTACTGTATTTTGCTGTGTATAATGCCTGCCCATGTATAATGCACACACATGTTTTTGACCCAAACTTTCAGGGAAAACTTTTGTTTTCATTTTTTAATTCAAATTTTTATTTGTTTGCATTTAGGTACATGTTTTTTGTATTATAAAGGAATTTTAACATTTATTTTTTAATATATTATGGTACAAGAAATTTTATGTACCAGTAACAAATTTACGATAGTTATGCATCATAGAAGGCCAAGGTCGCTTCATCGTTGCAAGTTCATCGTAAATTCAACAAAACCAATTATCGTATTCTAGGGTATTATTTTGCATATGGATGTCATTATTGATTTCTAGAGTTACACTTTTACCTCATAAGCATAAATAGAAGAATTAAAACCATTTACATAGAAACATTTACATAGTACTACCCATGTATAATGCACATCCTTATTTTTCCCTCACAGATTGGGCAAAACAGTACGCATTATACATGGCAAAATACTGTATATTTGGCCTATTTTTTTCTTTTTAGAATGTTAATTCATTTATTTGTGTCATCATTATTCTTGTGAATATTATCCAATTCAGTCTTTAGCTCTGAAGGTTATGAAAAACACTTTTTCTAGTACTTGATGCCCCCCCCCCTTTTTTTTTAAATTTATATGGTTGTTTTTCTTTTTTTTAGTTTCAGGTGTACAGAACAATGCAATAGTTATCCTTTTTCACCCCTCGAAAGAAACAACCTCCCTCCCCCATCTACTGCCCTCCCACCCCCAATATCATGCTTATCTATTACAATTCCATTGACTCCATTCCCACACTGTACTCCACATCCCATGACTATATGTATATGTAATTACAGTTGACATACAATATTATTCAACATCAGCTTCAGAAATACAGTGCGGTGGTCAGGCCTCTGCTCCATCTATGAAGTGGTCTCCCTAACAAGACAGGAGTCCATCTGGCCCCCTAAAAAATATTTACAACATTACTGATTATATTCCCCAGACTGTATTTTCTATCCCTGAGGCCATATTGTAGTTACCAATTTGTATTGTCTCGTCCCTTCCCCTTCTCCTTCATCCGTACCCTCCCCCCAACTAGCAATGCTCAATTTTTCCTCTGTGTCTCTGAGACTATTTCTGTTTACATTTCTCATTTATTCAGTTTTTTAGAATCCACATATAAGTGAGACAGACCATATGGTATTTGTCTTTCTCTGACTGACTTATTTCACTTAGCATAATGTTCTCTAGTTCCATCCATATCGTTGCAAATGGTACTATTTCCTTCTTTATAGCAGAGTAATACTCCATTGTGTAAATGTACCATAGTTTCTTATTCCAGTCGTCTACCGATGGGCATTTCGGTTGTTTCTAAGTCTTGGCTATTGTGAATAGTGCTGCAATGAACATAGGGGTGCATATATTTTTTCGAATTAATGTGTTGGGTTTTTCTGGATAAATACCTAAGAGTGGAATTGCTGGGTCATAAGGTAGTTCCATTTCTAGTTTATTGAGATACCTCCATACTGATTTCCATAGTGGCTGCACCAGTCTGCAGTCCAACCAACAGTGTACCAGGGTTCCCTTTTCCCACAACCTCGCCAGCATTTGTTGTTTGTTGCTTTATTGATGATAGCCATTCTGACCGGGATAAGGTGGTATCTCATTGTGGTTTTTATTTGCATTTCCCTAATGATTTGTGAGGTTGAACATTTTTTCATATGCCTGTTGGCCATCTGTATGTCCTCTTTAAAATAATGTCTCTTCCTATCCTCTGCCCATTTTTTAATTGGGTTGTTTGGTTTTTTGGTGTTGAGTTGCATGAGTGTTTTATAAATTTTGGATATTAACCCCTTATCAGATATCTCATTGACAAATATCTTTTCCCATTCAGTATGCCTACTTTTTGTTTTATTGATGGTTTCCTTTGTTGTGAAAAAACTTTTAAGTTTGATGTAGTCCCATATGTTCAGTTTTTCTTTTACTTCTCTTGCCCGTGGAGATGTATCAGTAAAAATATTGCTCAAGGTAATGTCTGCACATTTAGACCCTATATTTTCTTCTAGGAGTTTTATGGTTTCAGGTCTTACATTTAAGTCTGTAATCCATTTTGAATTTTGCCACGTCCCACGCAGCACAGGCAGTGATGAGTGAGACAGGATGGTGCAGGGTGAAAGAAAATAAAAGAGACAAAGAGACAAAGATAGATTTATGACACGAAACTAGGGGGCTACAGTTCTCTCTCTTTGGAACTGAGCACCTAATTGGACCAACGTGAAGCTTTTACTAAGAAACTTCAAAGGAGTAAAACTTTTTATTTTTTCTAAAGTCTGTGTGATAAGTGCCTTAAGGCCAATTACCATCAACCAGCCCCATTGTACTCCAACACATGCTGTGCCTTCTGTACTCCCACACACACAACACCCAGGGTGGTACAGCTGCTGCTGCGGTCATGAACTAAGGGAGATAACCGACATCATTCCTCCGGGTCCCCGTTTTCCCAGACACTCCCTTGAGGAAGCTTTACCGATATCATTCCATCGAGTCTCAATTTTCCGAGACACTCCCTCGTGACTTTGTTTGATCAGGGGCTGGTGTGGGGGTGCAGTCAAGGATGAGACTGTAAGGCAACAGAATTTGTACTTGTATATGGCGTAAAGAGGTGGTCCAGTTTCATTTTTTTGCATGTGTCAGTCCAATTTTCCCAGCACCATTTATTAAATAGACTGTCTTTACCCCAATGTAAATTCTTGCTTCCATTGTCATAGACTAACTGCCCCTATATGCCTGTATTTAATTCTGGGCTCTCTATTCTGTTCCATTGACCTATGTGCCTGTTTTTATGCCAGTACCATACTGTTTTGATTACTGTTGCCTTGTAGTATATTTTAATGTCTGGTAGTGTGATCCCCTGACTTTGTTCTTATTTCTCAGAATTGCCGTGGCTATTTGGGGTCTTTTTTGGTTCCATATAAATTTTAGGATTATATTTTCTATTTCTGTGAAAAATGCCCTTGGTAGTTTGATAGAAATTGCATTGAATCTATACATTGCTTTAGGCAGTATGGACATTTTAACTATATTAATTCTTCCTACCCTTGAGCATGGTAGGTTTTTCCATTTGTTTCTTTCTTCTTTTATTTCTTTCTTCGGTGTCTTATAATTTTCAGAGTACAGGTGTTTTACTTCTTTGGTTAAATTTATTCCTAAGTATTTTATAGTTCTTGAAGCGATTGTAACAGAATTGTTTTTTTAATTTCTCCTTCCGATAGTTTATTATTGGTATATATAAATACAACTGATTTCTGAGTATTGATTTTGTATCCTGCTACCTACTGAATTCGTCTATTAGTTCCAATAGTTTTTTGATGGAGTCTTTGGGAGTCCTCTATATATAGTATCATGTCATCTGCATATAATGACAATTTTACTTCCTCCTTACTAATATGGATGCCTTTTATTTCTTTTTTTTGTCTGATTGCTGTGGCTATAACCCAGAACTATGTTGAATAAAAGTGGAGAAAGTGGGCAGCCTTGTCTTGTTCCTGATCTTAAGGGGAATGGTTTTAGCTGTTCCCCACTGAGTATGATGTTAGCTGTGGGTTTATCATATATGGCCTTTATTATGTTGAGATATGATCCCTCTATTCCCACTTTGCTAGGAGTTTTTATCATAAATGGCTGTTGTATTTTGTCAAATGCATTTTCTGCATCTATTGATATGACCATATGATTTTTCTTTTTCTTTTTGTTGATGTGTATCACACAAATTGATTTGCGGATGGTGAACCAACCTTGCATATTAGGGATGAAACCCACCTGGTCATGATGTATGATCTTCTTAATATATTGCTGAATTCTATTTCCTAAGATTTTGTTGAGGATTTTTGCATCTATGTTCATCAGAGATATCGGCCTGTAGTTTTCCTTTTTTGTACTGTCTTTGTCTGATTTTGGAATCTACTAGTAATTCCATCGAGTTTGTTATTTAATTCAGTAATTGTATTCTTAATTCTAGCTGGTTGTTTTTCATGATTTCTCTATCTTTCTTTGCATTCTCATTAATTCCTTGAACATTCTAATAATCAGTGTTCTGAACTCTGTCTCCGATAGGTTGTTTACCTCTATTTCATCTAGTTCCACTGATTCAGGAGGTTTCTTCTGTTCTTTTATTTGGGATGTGTTTCTTTGTTTCCCCATTCTGGCTTACTCTTTGTGTTTGCTTCGATGAAATAGAGAGATTCCCCTAGGTCTCTCAGTCTTTTCTGGGTGGACTTATGTGGTATGTGTCATTTATATTTTAATTACTGAGTCCCTTTTCTCCTGTGTGTGTGTACCAGAGGTGTTCCTTCTGTGGTGTGTCTTCTCTGTTGAGGTCAAGTTTTGATTGCTTCTGGCTTGTCAGTAGGTTGGATTGACTCCAAAGCTGACCAGCTGTGAGGATTAGCTGTGTCCAAAGTTTATAAGCTGTTGTATGAGGGTTGACCCCTCTGATGAGGCTTGGCCCCTATGGGCTCTTGTGCCTGTAGCGATTTCACTTTGAGTGTGACTCTTGTAGGTCAGCCCCCGTAATGCTCTGGTTTTATCTAAAGTTGGTCCCTGGGTGTGATGATTCTTGTGCTTCTTTGGCTGGGCCCCACTGCAGAGCGGGTTTTAGAGCAAAACAGATCAACAAGGACAACCACAACAGCCACCAAAGGTAACCAGATACTCTCTGATGTACAAAACAACCATCACCCTACACACAACATGTACAGAAATATCAAGCATACAAAAGAAGAAAACAAACCAACAGCAACAAAACAATGACAGCAAAAAAGTACAAGGAACAAATAGCAAAACAAAATAAAATATAATAAACTAAAATATAGAATAAACACGAGAAACAATATAGCAATACCCAAAAAGACAACAAAAAAACCCTTGCAGATAAAATGGAAAGAACGAGGAAAAGTAGAGCTGTGACAAGAAAGCAGAAAAGAAGAGAGAGAGAGAGAGAGAGAGAGAGAGAGAGAGAGAGAGAGAGAGAGTAGAAAACAAGGAAAGAGAGAAAAAAGAAGAAAAAAAATATATGCCTATATAAAAAACTTAAAATAATAATGAAATAGAAAAAAACAAAAACAACCAACACAAGCAACCAATGAAAAACCCCCCAGAACATCCAAGAGAACCCAATTAACAACAACAATATAACATACCAAAAGAAAACGAAACTAAAAACAAACATTCTAAAAAAGAAAAAACAAGAAACAACCAGTGCCAATCTTGGCTAAAGTCCCGAAGCTCTACTCAGATTTTCCTCTTCTATACACAAGCTCCTCTGAGTCTTGTGGGGGCAGAACCAGCCGCCTGGCACCTAGAGTGAGTCTGATAATGCAGGTCTATTTTAGATGAGTGGGGTTATGAAGTGTGATTGGTAGTTTTTTTGTAAAGTCAATGCTGTTTCTGCTCCCACCTGCCCAGAGGCACTCTGAGTTCTGCGCAGCCAGGGTGCTGGATGTGCATCTTCAGGCGCTCTTTCCACTGGGGGCTGTTGGGGGGTGGGGGGATTTCAGAGCTGCCAGAGAGGCCTGCCGGTGACTCAGCAGCCGAAGTTGCTTAGCTTCCCAAGCCACCCAGAAGTGGGGGCGGGGACGGTGTGTTTAGGCGCACACTCCTGCATCGTCTTCTGATGCAAAGTTTCTCAACCCCCTGGGAGTAGGATCGCCTCTGTAATCTGACTCTACTCATCTCTTCAGGGGTCAGTTTAAGGCTCTGGCGGGGGTGGGGAGGGGGAGGTTTCTGAGGGAGGGTGGGATGGGCTCTTGTCTATATAGTTTTGTTGTTTTGGGTTTTTTTTTCTGTCTGAGAGAAAAGGGGGGGGGAAGCCCCCTGCGGTTTCGAGCTCAGACACTCCAGAAGAGCTACTGCTGTGCTCCAGGAGCCCACCCCTGTATTTGGCCTATTTTTGTATTTAAATATAAAATAACATCTGATACTAGTAAAATTTGGGATTGTTTTATTCTATGTAGATATTTTTAAAGTAGAATTTCATAAAATTTTTACCTAAAAAGTTACTGCAGAGTTATGCTTCTTAGAATCTGAAAGAAATTTTAGAGGTGCACATTATTTCACAGCTAGATCTGTGGTTTTATTTATTACTGAACTAATTATCACTGGGCGTACCTGCTTTCAGTTAACTGAATTGAAATTGGACAAAGACACCATCTATACTAGCTTATAACGATATTAAATCTTCACTTATAATACTATTATTACTACTACAACTAATAGTAGTAGGATACTAATATATTAATAATTAGTATACTACTAATAGTAGTATTAATACTAATAGCTCACCTTTAATGAGTCCTTATTAAGTGCCAGGCATTGTTCTAAGCAAGTTAAATATATTAACACAATTATTTCTCATGACAGATAGAATGGTTAGCAGTGAGATGTTAGAGTTACCGTTTTTATTTTGCTAAGTAAAATATATGAGAAATCTTATGCTTTACTAACGAACCTTATATATATATAAAATATAATTTGTCAATTTGACAATTCAGTTACTACTTCAAAATCTAAGACCTCTCAGTATTAATCCCCATACAGCCCCACTATATGACTATCAGTAGATACATATCTAAGATAACTATCTATAAATTGCAGAAACTTTTTCAAAACATAGGAATAAGGATTTGATCATTAGGCAGGGAAAATCATATGGGATAGAGTTGGAATTTGTAATTCTTTTTTTTAAGTAATAATTTTATTTTTACTCAGTTTATAGATGAACAAAGTTTAAAAAAAAATCAAACAATAAAAGGGTACATAGAGGAATAGCAGTCTGTTGCCCTGCAAATCCCTCTCCTCAGAGACAGCCACCTTCAATTCTTTTAGCTTGTTCTTCTAGTATTTACTGCTGTATTTCTGTCCGCTATGGCATTTGTAATTCTTAAAACCTACTGGAATTCAGTAATACTTCCTTGAATTTGCAGTGTTAATTTCCTCTTAATTTGATTTAAATTCAATATTATGTAATGTACATATGCTTCTAATAATATTTAGATTTTTTATTATATGACACCTTGGTTTATGTACTTACTAATTTTTTTTGTAGTGAACTATTTAATGAATTTACACTATATATTTAACATATACCCCCTTAATGTCAACCTAATGTTTTAAACCTTGTTAAATATAAAATTTCTCTCACAAGTAATTCAACTGCCATTTGGGGCTTTTGCCCCTTGAAGAGCCGGTAAAACTTAGGCTATTTCTCGAATACCATAAATTTCTGTTAATTATCAAAGGAGCAGGTTCATATGACACACTTCCATAGCCAAGCATGTTTCCATAAAGAATTTGCATATACCAAGACTGTTGCAAGATTTAGTGGACTTGACTGAAGGTTAAAGGGGCAGGGCATGTGTCACATCTTCGGGTAAGTGTCTTTCTAGCATCTCATCAACTCTCTTCCCCCTCTCCTCTTCCTGGCTGCTATTTATTGCTTTGCTCCAAATTGTACTCCTTACTTAGTGCAATTCATCACCCCTCCAGCAGCGCTCCTTGTATTTCCATACTCAGAAACATTGAGGCACACAAAAGATGGATTTTGATTTTCACCATTTGCCCATCTTTCCCTCTTTAGGAGGCAGCTGGGATTATAAATTACAAGGTTTTTTGTTTGTTTGTTTCCCTGTTAAATATTTGATCTTGTCAGTTATCGACATTGAATTATAATTTCTTATATTAACACAATATATAAATTCTAATTCATGTTATCATATCTATATTATTTTAAACAAAACAGAATATAAGTTTCTGGTTAACATTTCATTTTAATAGGAACCGGGAAAACTAAACCAAAATTATTATTTTGCATGTTGTGTATTCCAGACTCTTTCACCTTTCTGTAGGTAAGAGAAAGGGCATACCTGGTCTGCATAAGATTGGTGTGTTGTGGAATAGGTTTTTTGTGAACAACGGTAGGTCCATAAACTTCGTCTTGGAGGAGTTTTGTGAGCTTTTCTTAAATTGTGAGATACCTCTGTAGTGCACTTCATTTAGAAGTAACTATAGAGAAACTTCATATTTTATTACCTTATTTGGGAATTTGACACATCATAAATTATATTTCCCTAAGAAGAAATCTGACATGTTTTAAATCTGTAATATGTGCTTGTCTTCAAAGGGACGACTTTCCTGGTAGGCAGTTAGAGCGCTAGGGCAGTTATCCTCTATTTTGTTTTCTAAAATAGCTAAAGAACCAGAAAAATGTTCAGTGTTGCCAGGGCTAGCACAACCCATTTTAAAAGCTGTTAAAAAAAAAAAATGGAGACATACTTTAAAATAATTCAGAGCTTGACTTTAGGAAAACTGGCCTCTTTACAACTATTTCAGCCCATCATCATTCATTTTTTTATTCGACAAATATTTATGGGATACCAGGGTCTATTATGTCTTGCTAAGAACAATGAAAATATTCGATTTCATATAGTATCATTTCTGAAACACTCAAAATAATTAAGGTAGTTTCACCTTTTGGATATAAGTAAGGGACTTTTAAAAGTCATTTTTATACCTTCATTCACATTTTCAGTTACTTTTCAATATCATTGAAAATCAGCAGTGTACTTATTACAAGAAGTGTTGGGAAGAAGTTTCTCTTTTATATTTAGTTATTTTGGACTAACTATAGGTGCATTAAATGAGCTTTATTGTTTTATGTGTCATGCTAAGCCCAAAACACATAATTTTGTGGTAATTGAAAAATAAATAATTACTGGATTTTTTTTTTTTTCCTCTCACTCTTTAGAAAAATCATTGCTCCTCTTGTAACTCGTCATGGAAAGCTGTGGTCCAACTTCTGGGGAGCACTGAGTCCTGATGGATACTATGCTCGATCGGAAGATTATGTGGATATTGTTCAAGGGAATAGAGTGTAAGTTACTTCATTTATCATTTTAATGTGAAATACCGTGATCTAAAAATATGGTCTTGTTAATATTATTTGATTTTTTTTGTACTATTTATCTGTTTTTCTTTATGTTTAGTGGAAATTCGAAAACCTGGGGACCTCTTGGGGTCCTGAAATTCTAGTGTAAACTAGTATTTTACAAAAAAAATGTTTTTAAGGTCTAAATCTTCAAAGAAACAAACTCACTGTTGTGGGAAATACTAAGACACAATGTATGGTTACCATGGGCAGCCATCTTAGGTTGTTGGAAGGGTAACATTCTTCAGTTAAAAGTTTAGAAGGGGAATTTAGTTTAGCTCATATATTTAATGGCCAAGATGAAGGCTGTTTTGATAGCTTTGAAACCTTATAAATAGCAACAAAACAACACTAAGCATCAAAATCTTCCAAAGTTTCTTATTGCAAGAGTTTTCTGTGTAAAATAGCTAATATTCTGCTTTGAAGATCAATTTCTTCACCAATATCTGATTTCAATTTCTAGTTTGAAACAAATATACTTGTTACAAAGCATGTGCATGATTGATATTTATTTAAAGTTGATATTTTTTAAACTAACAATCACAGTTGAAATAGTATTTTTTGCTAAGGTAATATTAGGGCAGAATGTCACCCTGTTTTTTATACAGACAATACACCAGAGTGACTGAGACGTTAAGTGCTTTGCCGAGTTTCTCAGCTACATCAACCCAGTTAAAAAGAGAAAACTTTTTTTTGCGACTAAAAATATGTGCCCTTAAATTTAGGAAAAAAATCACACACTTCTTGTTGAACAATTGAGTAGTAGAAAGATGTTTTGTTTGTGAAAATAGTAACATCAGTTTGAATGATGTAAATATGATAAAGGCTTTTCTTAGCTGCAGTTGAGAAGCATGATAGCTGAGAAAACACTTAAGATCATATTCTATTGTTTCTAAGTACTGATATTGTCTCTGGGGTGTTTTGTATAGATCGTATGCCTGACATTGACTGTGGGTATAGCAGAAATAAGGGTTCACAGAAGTACAATAGCGATTTCATGTTTCATTTCAGTTGCTGTAGGCACTAGTGATTTTTTGTCCAACCTCCTGTCAGTGTCTAAAGTGTAAGGAAAACAATAAGGTAAAGGTGTTTTATCTAGTTAATGTAAGAATACACTTCATGTACAAAAGCAACACGAAGGAATGACATCTTATGATGTGTGTGTGTGTGTTTTCCCTCAAAACTGAAATACTGCACGCTCTGCCAGTGATTAATTTCTGAATTCAGATGATACAGTGTGTATGTTTTATGACCATTTCTCTTGAGGCTCATCTAAGACAAAATGATATCATATTCCTTTTAATATCTAACTGTATTTCCTTGGTTAAGATCTTTCTGCTCTCTAAAAGCCACAGACATATCCCTTCCAGTGAAACCTTTCTTACACTGTTCTTAGGAAGTGAGTCATGTACAGAATGAGGATTGCCATCTGTGGGGAAGAATGAAGGACACAATAATGTGCCTCTCACCACTCATGTTCTTCCGGCTGTATTTCTTCTTATCTTTTTCTACAAAAAATTTGAAATGGCTTAATGAATTTCAAGAGAATATATTTTAGGAGAATTTTAAGCGAAGTGGTGTGCTGGTAAACATCGAACAACTGGTTCTTGGGTTTGGGAGATGCCCTGATTTGTAGTGTTTGCCAATTTTTGGGGTATAAATACTTCTATAATTGCTGATTTCAAACTTCTAATGTGAAGTTACTGAGTGAAGCCTTGGGAAGCGAGGCTACAAGTCAACTCAGGGGGACCAGTGTAAGCTGATTCTAGCATTATGTCATTATTTTTGCTGTCAAGCTACTTAATTTTAAATAGAAACACCTTCTGTACAACAGAATATTATACTGTAACTGTAACAAATAAGGGGTGACAACCAAAATGCCAAACAGATATCAACCTTGAAATAAAGTTTATCTAGGGAGATAGTGATTGATCTCACCAAATATAGAGCATACCGAATAATCTCATGTATATTCATGTATTGATATATAGATTATATATATTTCTATATAGTATATATAGGAAATGTGTAGAGATATGTATGTCAAATAACATTAGGTGTGTTTGCATTGCCATATAATTTTATTCAATAATTTAAATATATAAAATTTAAAAACATACAAGGCACTTATTTTTAAAACATAAAAATAAAACTTTAAATATTTTCTATTTGTGGTATTTTGGAATGTCTTCTCTTTACTTTCAGAGGGATATGGAATGTCCCATACATGGCTAATGTGTACTTAATTAAAGGAAAAACACTCCGATCAGAGATGAGTGAAAGGAACTACTTTGTTCGAGATAAACTGGATCCTGACATGGCTCTTTGCCGAAACACTAGAGAAATGGTAGGGCATACAATGATGGCTTGCTTGATGTTCTAATAAGATGGCTTGCTTTCCCAGTGAATGTGTCATTATTTTGTGATGCCCCTTTTCTTTCTAATTGGTAAATACTAGCCAACTTTTTTTGGTTTTGTGTCGAGAAATTGGGAACAATTATGAAGAATAATTTATGAATATTTACCTATGCAAACATTTGAAAATGTTAGGTTGGTGCTTAGGCTGACTCATAAGCAACAGTGGGAGTTCAGTAATAAACATGAATTTGTTACAAATCAGCTTTGCATTTCTAAGAATTCATCTTTACTTCCATTTGAAATTCTATAATGCACACTTGTCCTAATTAAAATTAATCAGATAAAGCCTGGGTGACCGAATCATTTACACATTTAAGAAGAACACACTTTTGTTCTTAAAGTCAGTGTTCATACTTTCTGTGTTATTATTAATGCCATGCTTTTAAAAAGAAAGTTCCTTACCACTAAACTGGGAGAAGGACTGAGATATGTAGTATATTTAATCTATGTGAAAAATTAATGATACATTGCTATTTTACAAATACACTTTCATTACAAAACTTAAAGGACTGTAGAAAATAATTTGTTTTTCTACAGTTATTTTTTTTCTATGTTAATACATATTTAGTGTATTATTTCTGTTTTATAAAATATTGGATTATTTTATTCACATTTATGTAAGCAAAAGTGATTTGGGGAAAAATCAGAAAAGTTGGCAAGTATTTTTTTTGTCAGTTTGTTAAGGCATGTGTTGTTTGAATATGTTTGTTTTTCCTACAAACCTGTGTGCATTATTACATCGAAATCCTCAGTACCTCTAAGTGTAATTTGTGCTCACGTTTGGCTAATTTGACTCAACAGCGCATCCTGGAATGGCCTCTCTTACACACATTTCCTCCTTTGTCTTAATTTTGTGTCTAATGAAAGTTCTACTAAGGAATGAGCTTGGGTTTATGTTTGACCAGAAAAAAAAAGAAAGGAAACCGCTGGAGTTGTTTCTTTGTGTGCGCTATAAGCTTTGCTTGTTCTGCATGTTGTCTATGAAGGATATTTCAGAATGTCAGCTTTTCATAAGGGCTGCTATTTTTATTTACCTAAGAATACCTGAGAAAGTGGGCGTGCGGGTCAACTTACCAATACTTCTCTTCATTTTAGACTTTACAAAGGGAAAAAGACTCCCCTACTCCGGAAACATTCCAAATGCTCAGCCCCCCAAAGGTGTTAATTTTTATTTATTTTTATTTATTTTCTTAGTACTTGATATGGTATATTGCCTAGCAATAAAGTTTCTTTAAGAATCTTCTTTCCATTTAATTTGGTAAACTGTTGGTAGTCATTGGTTCTGAATCTGCATATGTGCCTGTAAGATTTGTGTATTGGAGGTGGGCATTGTGTGATATTCAACTCTTATTCTTTGGATTGATTGACACTTACTTTATGGTTGACAGACGGGAAAGTAAAACCCAAATCCCTTTCACTAGTTTTTGTTTTTTAAGGGAGAGAAGAGGTAGGAGTAAGTATAAAGTACATCTTGATAAGAATGAAATGTGGGCACTCTTCATTAATTTTTTTTTATTACTAATAACCAACCCTTTTACCATTAAAACAGGTACAAAAAGAAACCACCTTACCTTAGTGGTGTTTGCCACATTTATTTGGTATGGGACAAGGATATGAGATTTTCTTTAGCACGAATAATTTCTGTGTTTAGTTTTTAAATATTAGTGCAATAAAAGAATAAAATAGACTGACGAAGTAATGTTGACATTTGAATTCTTGTTTTAAAATGTGATGTTTTCTTTGAAAGGGAAAGAAGCCAAAAGAGTTACAATTCATTGCACTTTGGTGTCTCAAAAATATTTCTGCTTTCAAACAGGAATTTTTTTCTTGATGTCTACATCTAGGATCAATGAGAAAGGGACAAAAACAGTCCATTCTTCCTCTTCTTTCCTTCAGTTGAGTGTCAGTGCAATCAATTAGTTTTGTGTGTGGTGTCTGAATTCATAATTAATCAAAATTTTATTTCTTTCATTTTCAGTTATGCATGTTTTATATGAAAAATAAAATGCATGTTCATAAGGAAAATATAAAAGTTGATATTAATATTTCATGTATTTTTCTGTGGTTAAATATATTTTCTTACACTTTCTTCCAAGATTGTTAATACTGTTATTTTTTGGCATATAGGGTGTATTTATGTACATTTCTAATAGACATGAATTTGGAAGACTATTATCAACTGCTAATTACAATACTTCTCATTATAACAATGACCTCTGGCAGATTTTTGAAAATCCTGTGGTATGTATTTCATACTCAGCTTCATTTATAACTTAGTTTCCTATAACTCTAAATGATATAAATAAATTGGGTTAATAATATGGAAATGTAGTAAGAGGCTTAAAAATTTTTTATACTATATCACTTTTAAAAAGATATATTTAATTATATTTCATCTCCTATAAAGTAGATCTAAACTTGACCAATAATTTTTTTTTTTTTAAGATTTTATTGGGGAGTTGGGGGAGGGGAACAGCGCTGGAGAATCGGTGGAAGGGGAACAGACAAGTTGCTGTCATTTTTTGTTCTTCAATCTAGTTGTGGAGGACGTTGCTTCACTGGCCCATGTTGGTATTATTATTGCACTCTTCCCAGGTGAGGCAGACCGGTCGCCGGCCTCTGGATGGCCGCGCACTGCGGCTCTTGGCAGTTCACACTGGCTGCCAGCCACTCACGCTGGCTGCCGGCCACACACGGTAGCTTATGGCAACCCACTGCAGCAGGGGCTGCAGCCTACGCCATTGCTGGCGACTCACGGCAGCCCAGTCCAGGTGAAGCTGTTGTTCACCATCTTAGCTGTAGAGGGCAGTGTCACTGGCCCCCATGTGGGATCCGTACCGGGTCCCTGCTGCTCAGAGCTGGCGTCCCAAGCCAGCTCTTAACCAACACGCCACTCAGCCGGCCCACCAATAACTTTTTTAAAATTAAGACATATATTACGTTTGGGGAAGGGAATTTCTCCAAGAATTTCTATGTATATATTCAAAAGTAGCATCAAATTTTTAATCACAATTTCAGAAAAAATGTTTACTCGACCTGGTAACTCGACCATATTACATTTTCAGATTTTCAGAAAGAAAATTTAAAAAGTTATTTTGGGAAAATACATTTTATCATTTTGTTTATTTTTTTGTCAATGTATATCAAAGATAGACAGAATTGCAGAGTAAGTGGATTCAGCATGTAAAGGAAGTCTTAAGTTCAAGAAACTATTTCCTTTAAATGTCTAAAATTATTTCATTTCTTAAAGATTTGAATCATACAGGAATTAACTGCTTTTTTGTCTTACTGGGGCTTGTTCTCTTAATCAAGTGAGCACATTTATTCAAGGGACAATACTCTCTTGAATAATCATCTCTGAAATACTACTACCTATGGTTTTCCCCTTGCCAAGAGTAAAAGTTGTAAATTACAAAGATTTAATCCACTTAATCAGAATTCACTTTTATTTTCTAGGAATAGTTGACATCCGGGAAGAGTAAATTTAATTGTCTCTGAATACTCTATTGAACAGCAAAATAATATCTTTGGACATTTTGGTATTTTAAAAGTACTTTCAGTTTATTTTAGTTGCATATCTTTATCTTTCAAGGGAGTAGAATTGAAAAGATCCTTTTTTAATGGTGAAGGTGGTATTACATATTTTACTTTAGTAATGGTATTTGGTATTTAGAAGGATAGAATTATTTGATTTCTTGGGTAAAATTAGCTTCCTGAAAAAATATTCCAAATTAAATCCTGAATTGTAGATGTTTGTGTAAGAATTCAAATCTTTGGAGAGTATGTAATAAAAATATCAGAAGTTGGAACTGTTTTTCTTTCCATGACTTTGCTTTGTTTTTTGAAAATTAGCCTTATTGATATACCTCATGAGGAATACCCCGTAGCAAAATATTTAATGGTTGTCCCATTATCAGAACTTTTAAGAAATTAGTAAGGTCACAGTTTGTCCAATATTTGAAAGGTTGTCTAAAATAAAAAATTAATATTAATGAACAACTGTAAAATCTTAGGAACTTTTTTCTTTAACTTCAAAAAAAATTCAGTGATGATACATGGGAAAAAATACTTAAGAAATTCTGATAAATTATGGATGATTATTTACTTCTAATTTTTCCTCATATTTTGGACTCAGAAAACTAATCAATATTAGAGGGACTAATGAGATGGTACAGGAATTATTATATACTATGTATAAGTGAAATTTATTAAAGAATTTGAAGATAACTTTGGTTCTGCATATCAAAAATATCTGAACTACATATAAGCAGAGATATGCAAAACTAAGAATGGCATATAAGTTATCAGGGCCCCTCTGAAATATAATCTCAAAAGATGATTTTTAAAGATTTTATTGGGGAGTTGGGGGAGGGGAACAGCACTGGGGAATTGGAACAGACAAGTTGCTGTCCTTTTGTTCTTCAGTCTAGTTGTGGAGGACGTCGCTTCACTGGCCCATGTTGGTATTATCATTG